TGTCATAAAAAGAAAAGTAAGAGCATGTGGGACTAATTTTCCATCAGGTTTTTGTCTCTTAAACATTTCATTGGGATTCAGTAGAGAAATAGGCATATGCTTCTCTTCATGAACACTTGCATTCACAGAGTGTATGTGTTTAAAGAAGACAAATGGATCTTGCTGACACTGAAAGTTTCTACATATGTAAAGCAGGAACGAATGAATTTTGAACAGCTTCACAGAAGCTGATGTTTATAAAGAAAAGAAAGAAAAGGCGCAGCAGAGAAAAATTGCTGCTACTCCTAGGAAACAGATGAGAAATTTATTTGTGTATAAGCTCTTAAGGGAAGAATGAAAGCTGCTGTTTCCTTACATTTTTTTTCTCCTCAACAATAAAGACTACATGAGGTTACACTTCACTTAAAATAGGAAAGCAAGACAATTTAGCACTGGCTATACAATGTAAGGTAATTCCCATGTGATTCTCTATTTCTGTCTGTTGGAAAGGTGGCTGATTTCAATCCCAGAAGCAAAGTAGGATGAAAGTAGAAACTCAAAAGCTTATGGATGCTACATTGCTGCAGTGAAATTGAAAACAGACATCTGTGTATGGCAGTTTTAGTATAGCCAAATAGTTGGGCCCTGTCTGCTGTTGGAAGGTCTGGCTGTGAGTTGGAGATGGAATGAGGAGAGCTTGTGCAACCTGCTACTGTATTCACAGTTGGCTTCTGATCAGCAGGATTGCTGCTGATGCAGCAGTTTGTGGAGCTTCTCTGCAGCATCATATGTGACTCCACCCTGAGAAAAAAAATCCTTCAATTTTTAACCTATTTTTGTCCCTAATCACCAAACCAGTCTGTTCTGGAGTCCATGATGCCAGGCTAGTAATGGTCTCATGGAGACCATTTTCTTCAGGGAAAAGGAATCTTACGGAGCAAAAGTGACAAATCCTGTGGATTTACTCATTGTGTTACAATGTTAGTCAACGGCTGGTCATGGCAGAGTTATCTCACACTCAGGCACTGCCTGTTTTAGTTGTGTGAGTGGCATCTTTTTATATTTTGAACGTGTCCATGGAACTGCAAAAAGAGCTATCTTTCCTTTTCCTTGCCTCTAAGCACATTGAAAAATGAACTCAAACGTGGCAGCCTTTTATGTCCTCTTTTGCGTGAAAGTGCTGAGAAGTCCTTGTTTGTATTTCCAATATATTTGGATTAGAAACTGCAGGAGATTTTTGTTACGCATAAAGTTTGTATTTGTGTGTAAAATTGGTTCTCAAATGTAGGCATCTCCTACAGCATGGCTATTCTCAGTTTTGTTTACCTTTGGCTTACGTGGCATTATTGAAGGCTGTAAGGATCACAGCGAGGGAGAGGTTCTGTGGAAAGGAGGGTAAACTGAAGAGGAAAATGTCTCACAGAGAAAACCATACAGGTTAATAGCTGTAGTTTGTCTGTGGAGCTCTGCGTCACCTCTAGTAAAAGTAGACCTCATTTCAGAGCTCATTTGTTCTATTTAACACAGCCTGTTATGTTAGTGTAATAACAGTATGGTAATGGACTGAATTTTATTTCCTGGATGCACTTAGTTGATATGAATCAGGGTTGCAAGAGGCTAATAGTTATGTTTCAGAGCTGAGGTCAAATGCTATCTACTTCCAGTGTCTTCTCAGTGCTATAGCATGGGCTGTTTTGCAAATCCACAAAAAATACCCAGCATCACAGTTTCTGAGCCCAGGTGATAACGCATGCACTCAGACACTGAGCGTATTTCATGGCCTCTCCTTGTTACCTAGCTGTTTGCCTGCTTTGCTGATTGGGTCCATCCATCCTAACCCCCTGAATTTCTTGAACTACAAACCTTTAATTTTTTTATTTTGAGGGCTGTATTGCTACAATGTGGCTGCTGTGTGTGGAGCAGGACTGTTGGGAACAGAGCTCTTCGTACCTTGTTTGTGCTTTATGCAGCTGCTCCTCTGTCCTTGGACTCGCTGTTGTGAGTGGCCAATGCACACAACCACAGGTCTGGTCTTTTACTGCATAATGGGTTTGAAACTTAACATAATCTTTCAGCTTTTTCTTATTTGAGCTGCTGTAGCTTATGAATGCTTTAACTGCTGTGATATTTTTTTTTTGTACTTCTGCTGGTGGCCTCTGAACTATTAGTTCCAGGCTAGGTCTGCCACTTGCACTGACTTTTCTGTTAATTGTTCTTATTAGAGGACTGCTATAAGACATAGTTATGACTTTTGTCCTTCTAGAGGTGAATACCACACATAAGTAATGCAGAATAATGTAATAGGCTTGTGGTACAGGAATGATGTATTGTTTTTCTCATGCCTGGAAAACCTGGCAATGGCATTGAGCCCGGATTTTCTGCGTCAAAGCTGAAATCCTTCCTGTACTTAGCAGAACAGTGTCTCATATATTTAGTGCTGGCTTACTTCTCTTTGGTGTGCTAGGCTATGGGCAGAGGTTTGATTCTTCATTCTGCCACCTACCCTGAGGGGTTGCTGTTCAAAGGCAGATGGGTTGGTTTTCTCTCTTTCCCACTGCTGCTACTATTTTTCCTTGTGTATTTGCATTTTCTGCTGTGCATTTGCTGCCAGCCTTGCAGCACAGCAAGTGAGTCTGGCATCAGCAGAGTACAGGAAGAAACTGTATTAGATTCCACTTTGCTTAATTGTGCAAGTCCCAATGGGTTTTGTGCAGTGTAGGTAGGTGAGGAAGATGGATTTGATTTTAATGACAGATGACTTGGCATCAGCATCATAACAGGTGCAGTAAGAGAATCCAGGAGTGAAAGTGTTAATTCATATTCTATTCATAGAGATAACTGTGAAAGAGCATACACTGAATGTGCATTCCAGTTTCATTTCTTTGTTCTTATTTAAAGTGACAAATAATATATTTCCCTTTAGCTTTGAGTGCTTCATAAACCTGGATCTGATGATGAATATACAGTTTACACTACAAAGGTACTGGAATACCTTTCAGTGCAAGAAGGCAGAACTTGGTGTGGTTCACAGCACACTGTGACCTCCGCTGAGATTATTAATCAGTCAGGCTTTCAGGGGCACATCCACCATCCTAGATATAGCACTTGCTTACTCCTCTCTCTTTTTCCCTGATAAATTTAATATCTGAACCTCTGGGAAACACAGTGTGGATGTATGACTTCTGTCAAAGGATGCTGAGTTCTGTTTGCTCTGAATTCAGATTTAAAATGGTTTGATACACTCCTCAGTGGGTTTTTAATTTGAGTCACAGTGTTTTGTTACACACAGCTTGGTATGGAAACTTACTGGTGCTTAACAAGATCTCATCAATCTCTTGGAGAGCAAGATTGGCAGTTTTGGAGGAAGTGGTCTGGTTAGAGTTCAGGAAATCATGAGTGGAGTTGTGGGGTGTGTGTGGGGGTTGCCTTATCAGCATGTGGTGTTCTGTTAGAAAGCAATTTGCTTAGAGGAAAGGAATTGTTTTGAATGAATGGAAAGAGATTTGGGGCTTTGAACAGGGTACTGGTTAATTTTGTATTAGAGCAGTCTGCCTTTCACAGGGCTGTGGTTGCCCAAGATGGCCTTGTACATGAGCAGAGCAAGAGATGTCCTTAAATTCCTTTGGGCTTCTTATGAAGATACTAGGAGACAGATGTTCAACCATATTGAAGCAATGCAGATATTTTTCTGCTCAGAAAGGCATCGTAGTTCCAGGCATTACAAAACAACAAGAATTTTTGTTCAAGTGCTTGAATTTGCAGCTTTTGTAGTATAAGAGATTTGAAATAGGCATTGTTGTTCTATTGACCTATCAGCAGAAACATGACCATCATGTAGAGCTGTTTCTTAGCAAGCTCCCTAGGGTTCTTCTACAGAGAATGAAAAGCGAGAGGTTTCATTACTATACTTCTTGCTATTCTGCACAGCTGTAATCCTTAGGCACTAGAGCCAACATTCCTGTACTTGTCTTTTTGTCAGGTGGAGGGGTATTTTGTCTTTGGAGGAGGTTACTGAGAAATACGTCATGTGTTACCTTGTGCTTGAACTACCATGGTGGCTTGCTGCCATGGTGAAAACCTCACTGAGCAAGATTAGGGTAGCTGTGTGCAGTTTCCCTTGGTGCAGTAAATCATATCTTTTCATTACCCAAAGATAAATTGGAGAGAGACTAGTGAATCTGGCCTGCTCAAGTCTGTGTTTCCAAACAGCTCATGTCTTCCTAACAGAATTTCTCTATTGGGAGGGTTGGTACATCTGATAGACATCTATGTGGGTAGTTAGGGCCTGGCGGCCGGAAGATATCGCGCTGTACGGAAAGCATAGGGCCCCTCTCCTGATAGCCAATAGCGTTTAATTTACGACGTAAGCAGACGGATGTGACGTTGTAAACCCAAGCTATATAATGCCGTGTCACCTACCAATAAACGCCATTTGCCGTCCACCACATTGGTGTCTGTGAGCTGACGGTCCGCGCAGACCCAAAGGTGGGGTCGCCGAGCTGTTCCTGAACCAGGTTGCTACGCCTCCGAAGACAACACATCTGTTCAAATCTGTGACTGCCTTATGAATTGTGGGCACAGTCTAAAAAGAGTTGCAATTCCAAAAGCTAAAAACTCCACTGCATGGTCAGACAGAGTCACATCGACCATGACTGGCCCCAACCTGCTCAGTTCATCAAAACCTGCTGCATAACTGCATGGATTCATCCTCCTCCTTACCAGCTGTGAAATCTGCTATGATTATGAGCTCTGCTTGTGCCTTGAGACAAATATGATGAGTGGAGATAGTGAATTCTCCTGGTGCTGGCCAGGGTTGAGGAATGCTGGCAGACCAGGGAGAGAGGTTATACTGATGCTCTATATGATGTACCTCATTTAGAGCTAAGCAGAGTTTAAGACTTAAGGATTGTCAAATAGACACACATAAAAACTTCCTGATTTCTCCTTAATTTGAGACAAAACGTGTTTTTAAGAAGTCTTAAGATAAATACTTATTTTTGTGTATTATTTTTGTTTTCAGGATGAATAAGAGATACTTACAGAAAGCAACAAAAGGAAAACTGCTAATAATAATATTTGTTGTAACGCTGTGGGGGAAATTAGCATCTGGGGCAAATCATCATAAAGGTAAGACATTCTGTTCCATACTATTATACTGCCATATCTGCAGCCTCCTTTCCTTATGTGTATTTGTGTCTCCTGGTGTTGGTCCATTAATCAGTACCAAAGGAGGAGAATTTTCAATAGACAGACTTTTATTACTTTCTTGAGAATTTAAGTATTTCAGTGCCATTTTCAGCATTCTTTGATTTTCAGTCATTTTGTAATGATGGTACAATTGAAAAGATGGTAAAAAAAGATGGTAAAGTAAAACAAAATCAAATCATAAATATTCTCATAATAGATATATCAGCACATATATGTGCTACAAATGAATTCCTGGAATGAACCTTAGAAATAAGCAAATTTTAGTAACATGTATGCTGCTACTGTCTGCAATTATCTATCAAGGCTAACTTCATGGATAATGTGTGATGAATGTGATTGTCTCATCACCTAACAAAGACCTTTGCTTTGCCGTGTTGTCTGTCTTCTGTGCTTCAATCTTACCACCAGACCAGGAACTCCAGTAGCTTGTGACAATATGACATTTGTTTCCTTTTGTTCATTCCAGCCCTTAAAATGTATACACACCAGCAGAAGCTGTGATGGTTTATTGAAGCTTGTAAAAAGGTCTCTTCTGTGTGTGTGTGTGTTTCTGTAAACCCCTAATGCAAGGAACAAGCTCTCCAGATTCATGTACTAGTATCTTCTTATAGGCTTAACATAACTTGAAATGTGATCTGCAATATAATATGATTTGAGGTCCATTTCTTATCTTCATATAGTATCTGCTGGCTGTTTATCTGCTTCTTCAAGATCAGAATGAAGTCTAACAGCTTGGGTAGAGTGAAGGTGGGATATGAACGTTACTGAGAGCTAAGGTGTTAAATACTGTGGAAGGATTCCAGTAACACCATTCAGTTCTATATGTTCATGTACATTTTACAATGTTCTTTCTGATGATAGGATTTCATGAGCTGGTATCTTATATATCTAGTTGCTAGATATTTTTCTGCTGTGTGAAAATACCTTTTTTCAAAATTCCTCACTGATTAAGGACTTCAGGATATGGAGGCCCTTTCTGCAAAATCTTTTGTGAGTTGTAATTTGGATGCAGAGAAAACAGATTCTGCTGTGGTCCTCCAGGCCACCAAAGATGGGGATCATGCCAGACAGGAACCATGCTGACACCCTTTGCTCAGCCTTTTTTCCCCTCTCCGAACCACAATATGGATTTATGCTGTGGCTTGACAGTTTAGTCATCTGTTGAAAAAGAGCCAAGTTATCTTAGCTTGAAGTCAGAATTCTTTTGTCTTTTATTATCTTTCTTTAAAATAAAAAAGTCATCTCCAGATCATTTTGATTCCATCCACAAAAGCTGATCAAGCTGTGCTTGCCTCAATCCATTTCAAACTTTGCCAAAGTGGGCTTGCTACTCTTTTTGGAAAAAAATGAGTAAAACTTGTCATACATATTTAGTGGGAACAAGTTATAATCCTAAGGACTACTTGGGAAATTAATGTTTCATAATTGAGAATCAAATTATCCCCCACCAATTTTAGCTTTCCAGATATATTCATTCAAAGAAAACCCCAGCAGAGCTATACTATTAATTATCTGGACAGTACTTGGCATTTGAGCCCCAGCCTTAGAGCAGAATTAACTTGAGAATATTGAATTTAACATTTTTAGATTAAAAAAAAATGCACATGAGCCCCCTGCAAGATCAGGTTATTAGCTGTCGGGACTTCTTTGCATTCTTACAAGTTAACAAAAGTCTTGGTTCTTTTTCTTTTTTCTTTTTTCCTTTTTCTTTAGGTTCTAACTTTTTACCCCTTTAGCAAAATATAGGAAGTCTTGCAGGGAATTATGAAAATAAGAAGCATGACTTGAGCGTTCAATTCAGAAAAGCAACTATTGTACATGTGCAGCTTCTTTTGGAAAGAAAAATACACAGAAGGATTTTGAGCTGTGGATTTGGTAGATCTGCAGATCAGCTGTACTCACTGTATAAGGAGGATTATTTTAAAAAGCACAAATCAGAGTTATGCAGCTCAGCTACTATTTATTTCCAAAGAAACTGGGAGTTTAACTTCCCATTATGTCAAGAAAAATCTTCCTGCTACTCTAATAGCAGAAATGGAACTAAGGTGCAGTCAAGGAAAACCTGACACTGTTCACCTTTGCATAGAATTCCGAAATACTGAGAAATATGTGAGCTTCTTTGGCTATAATTATCCCTAGCATCATTAATCTTCATTTATAGAAGTCCTTACTAACATATTGATGTGACAAACCCTAATGACTTTGAAGGAGCCCTTACAATTTCAAAGATCAATAATCTACATTTTAAAAAAATCTTTACTTTCCTATTGACTTAGTAATATTATGCATCAGTTATACCAACTTTTAAACCCTTCTCTTTTTTCTGAAAAGAAAAAGTAAAAGAAGGAAAGATCATCAACGTGTGAAAAATTGTTTAATGAGTTTTCTGCTTTCCAGACAGACTTCAGCAGGGATATAAACTTCTGACTCTGACAGGCCATCCCTAGGCTTGCTGTACTTATTTCAGAGATACGGCACAAATGATAAATCCCAAGTCAGCAGCAAGAACAACAGACGCTGAGGCAGGGGATGGGGAACCAAGCCTTTAGGTTCAGTTGAGCAGCCACCGGGGTTGGGATTTCAGATTACAGATTTTCAGTGTCAGGTATGTGGACATCAAGTCCATCCTTCTTTCTCTTGAGGAGACTGGTTTGAAAACACATCTGCTCCCTTTATCTTGGCTGATTGCTAAAGTTTCATCAGTCTGAGCAGAAAGTCCAAGAGCGAAAAGAGAGAAGCACTCAGAGCGTTTAAAACAAGCTCACTTTTTTGCTGAAGACAGGATTATGAGTTCTCCTGCATAGTTTCTTGGGTGTGCACTTACTTATATTCCATTTATCCTGTCTTCTGGAAAGGAACAGAAACAATGCTTTTTCTTTTTCATTTTGCTGGGGACCCTGATACTATGGGGATGTGTGCCTTACTTGAGCACAGGCACCTGTGAAGCCTGCAGTACCAGATCCAATTGTGCTGCAATAACCATGTATGAAAAGACAAGTAAAGAGTGGCACATCAGTATCCAGAAGGAAGTTGTCAAGGTTATGAGTCTGAAAACTGATATGCCTTCAGGGTGGCTGAAAGATTTTTACTTCAAGAAGTCCATAAGGGTATTTTATTATAAGGCTGGTCCTGATCCTTCTACTCATTGCCAGCCCTTGGAAAACAAATAAACCTGTGCAAACACATAGTGTTCACTGACAGATATGTCAGGCAGGCATCAGTTCAGCATCACTACCTGTTTGCTATTTCTGTCATAGGGAACATGAACTGATTTGGTGCCATTGTACCACAGTCTGTGCTTAAGGTTGCAAGTGTTAGACTGGTCCTTCTGAGAAAGAAATATACTGATAGGCCCTTAAAAGCACTCCTTTATAGACAAGAGGCTACTGCAAGACACAGTTTCTACACTGAAACGAAAAACTCTCAAAATTTGGATTTCTTTGAGCTTTTTGTTATTACTAAGTTTTTTATATTGATAATACAATAAGGTAATAAAAATAAATTGAGAGTGCTTTTGAATCTGAGCATAGTTTAATATTCCTCAAAATACAAAACAATAAACTTTATATTAAATTTTAAATCCCTGAACAAAATAAAAAGTTCTTTAAAAATATGGCTAATCATGAATGTTTGCTTGCCAGAAGGAATTTGTTATGGAACCAGAAATCTCCAGGTAGATAAAGTAATAGAGTATTTTTGGACTTACTAGATGAAAATGCATGATAATTTATTTCTGTTGTAAAAATTTCACTCAGAATTCATCTGATGCCCATCCTATAGTTAAAACGCACTAAACCTTCTATCATTTGCAATGCAGAATTGCTGCTCCTACTTGTCTGTGGATTTGCACTAATTTAGAAGTCTGAGGGAATGTCTTGCTCTTTCACAAGGAGAAAATGAATCTTGGTTTCTCCTTGCAGAGAAGCAGCTGTTCTGAAGCCCAGCTGAATGGGGGAGCTACTGAGACTTTGATGTTGCTAGTTGGTTCACCCTTCCTGGATGAGTCTGCCTTTCTCAGCTGCCTTGCCAGGGAGGACGCACTACTGGCACCAGTGTTGTGGTGTAAGGCAGAGCCTGTGCCACACGGGTGCCTGGGGTTTGGGAATGAGTATGAGAAGCAAGAAACCCAGTGGCATGCTTTCAGGTGGTGCAGATGTGTTTATTGACATGAATAAACTTTCATTAGTGGTCATCCTCTTCCTTGGTCACTAGGTCTCTTTGCTTCTATTTTGTGAAATGGGTACAAATGAAATGTGCAGGACAGTCCTGGAAAGCCTAAGGAACTGTCTGAAGATTTTAAGTCTTTGTGGAACTGGGTTGAAAATGCAGCTTAATAGTAATCATTCTCCCTGGGTATCTTGGTTTATTTGGGTAACTCATTTCTGTTTGCTCTGGAAGACCTTTCAATTCTTATGTCTAGATTTGTCATGTTTTCTATCAGGAAAATGAACCAAAAGGTGTCAAGCCCTGAACAGGTCTCCATATAGTCTAACACACATCCCACAGGTGTGTGTCTCTGAGAATGTAAACTTTTTTAGGGGAAGAAGTAGTAATACAGTAGTAATATTTCATAGTAATGAAAAACTTCAACTGAATGTCATACTGTAGTCCAGTATGGGCAGTAGGACACCTGGTTCTGGAGAGCAAGTGGAAGTCCTTGTAGCCCTTGCAGTCAGATGGGGTAGTACGAGTTCATTATTTTGGTTTCTGGCATTGAGCGGGGCTTTCTTAGCGAGTGCAGCAATGCCAACACTGCACTGAATCAGCAGCCTCCTGGCTCTGCCTGGTTCTTTTGTACCACTGGGGCAGTGCAGGGGACTTGAGACATGCTGGTGAATCTTGTGCAATGCTTTCCAAACTGGTGTGAATTGTGCCTTAAAGTTACTGTTGATCCTCTGATCCTTGCAATAGATTTTCTC